GGGACAGCAGTTCTAGCTTGGTGGGATTGCATAAGTTGTAAGGTAAATGCAGTTTACTTCTCCCCATATACAAGGATCCAGAAAACTTTGCAAGCTCAATGTCAGTGGAGCTGCTGGTCACATCGTGCAGCGGGGCAGGGGGATGCATTGGACCTGTAAAAAGCTCAAGATCTGCAAGTCAGCCACCTTCGTTAAGAACAGAAATATAATATCTTTTATTGTGTAAAACTGAGAGAATTGCAGGGGAATTTCTGGATACTCTGGATGAATCTTGGAATACAGCACACTCCGTATGTGACTTAAAAATTTTCTGCTTATATAAAAATTAGTGAAGGAAGAGTAACTAATTAATTCATTATGCATCTGTGAAGTTGAGTTGAGAACAGCCTGGTCTAAAATCAAAGCAGTTGTTTGGATATAAAATGTCAGGAGGTTGTGCAAATGACATGAGGTTCTCGAATAAATCAGGGCGTATTTACGTGGAGAACGGGTAGGGGACCTTTCTTCCTCCTCGCTCTGTTGAGTCTGCAACTGTCTACTGTCTTGTACTACTCGAACCATACGATCCAGGGTGGCTAGGATGGTTGTGCAGCTTGCTTTTACTGCTTTGTCTGTAGGTGGCCCTGCAAAGATTGAGTGTGTATTTACAATTTGAGCGATAAAGCATTTTACACTAGTATTTTATTTCTTGCTGCTTCACCTGTTACTGCTGAGAGGAAGAGGAAAAAAAATACTGTTCTAGTATTACCATACTACATTGAGTATAACCAGCAAAGGCAAAAACTCTATAAAGTGTAATTCTAACAAGGTCAGTGTTAAAGTGTGCGATGTATAGCATATACAGGCCAAATATTACGTATAACAAGTGCATATACTGGTGATTACTCAGCAAGAGTATTTTACGGTGTGGTGCACAAAGTGTCATTAGCGCAGTGGAATACTGATCCACCTATGGCAGAGGAAGTATTTAGGGCCACAGAATATAAATATGATTTTGTTTAGTCCTTAAATACAAGTCTACACAGTGGTGCCTTTAATTTTGGATACTTTTATTGTAGGAAAAACTGTCCTGGATATCTCTGTGCATAGTTGTGAAAACCAGTGTATATGTTCCCCAGTCTTTATCTAAACTGCAGCATATAAAATAAATACGAGAGAGGAGACTATTCCATTACCCAGGGCTTGGGAAGGTGGTCTTACTGCTTCTCTGAAATAACCCTGACTTTATTAACCTTCGGAGCAAGCTGCAGACCTTGCTTGTTTCACCTGGCCTTTGAGAGAAATAGTGAGATTTCAAAATGAACGCTGGTGTTAGTATTTAATTATGAGCAGCTGTTTGAATAGATGAGGTGAGCTGATAAAGCTCTGTTTGGTTTGCCATATTGAATAATTGGGAGTGCGTGCACAGCTGGTGTATGGAGAGCTTTATTAAATGTAAATCAAGAGGAACTAAAATAAAAAATACATTTAATAAAGTTTTCTTGGAGATCAGCTTAAATATTCAGTAATGCAGCAGTGAAATAAGGGAGTAAACAGAAGTACCTGTATTAATATCATGCTCGTGTGGTAAATTGATACACCCAGTGGAGCAAAGTAAGAGTGAGAAGACTTCTTTAGTTTGTGAAAGCTGCATGAAGGCTGAAGAGAAAATATTCAACCTTGTAAAAGTTGGTAATTTTTCATTTAAGTGGTGTTTTTCTTAAACTTCCAAAGATTTTTCAGTTTATTTTTTTTTCCACTGTCAATATTTTTAAAGCTTAGATAAGATCACTCCATTCTCCCCCACCTCCCCCAATAAAGAAAAAATAATTTATGAAGTGAAAATATTTTTAGAGACTGACGAAATCATATCTTCAAATGTGAAAAAAGTGCTGTAAATCTTCTACCAGCAGAAACATTATTTTTTTCGTGTCATAAACTGTCTGATTTTCTCTGTTACAAAGTATCTGAAAGGAGGTGAGAGATTTTACATACGTTTGTTTTTATGCGTGCACACCTATATATGCCCCAACTCCCCCTTACTTATAGTTAAAACCCTCCTGTCATTGACATTTTTATTTAATTTTGACTACTTAGGCTGGAGATACTGCAAAATCTGGATTTTAAGGCTGGAAAAACTATGCTCTTTTAAGTTCTCAGTTCTAATTTAAGTAAGTGCTTGTGCTAGTAAATAAATAAATAAAAAAACCTTGTTAAAGAGAATTCTGAAAACCTATTTGAAGTACTTGGGAAAGATTTGACACAATGAATGAGTAAAAATGATTACTATATTGGAGTAATTAAAGACAGTTCACATTTGTGGTTTAGGCATAAATGTGTAAAAATTATACCCATCTATCTTATTACATTTCCTTTTCTCTCCCTGAGGATTTCACTATGTACTTTATCTGTTATTGTTGCCAGTTTTCTATCAAGTTCCCACTGGGCTTCTGGTGCAAAAAATCTTATCCTCTCGATGACAGAGCTTGCCTGAATGATTTCATGCTCTTAGCATTTTTGTTCACGGGAATTAGGGGCAGAATGTAACTGCAGCTGAACAGAGCATCTATTTTTGTAATTTTGAAGTTTAGACTCTGTTATTGGAACTAAATGAAGAGATGCAGGTGTTCTCCAGT